TTATAAATGACGGCAGAACCAATGGCTGGAACCATTACTTTCTAATTGCCAGTGAAAGGAACCGCATCGATTGGGAAACAAAGGAAATTGCTGGTTTATTCGCGAGCACATAAAAGATGAGGCTGCAGCATGAAACGCACAGGAGAGCCGTTTACCGTCCGCGATCACGAACGACATCGTCGTATCGACAATCTCCGACGTATAAATCAATCGCCAGCAATTTCGACGTAACTGGCCGACCGCCACGATTCATCGACTATTTGGTTAACGCTAGACCTACGGGCACATCGTGTGTACCCGTTCCTACCATGACTATTATGATCCAGTCTTATCGTACACTAGTCGTACGATCAGTAGGAATTACTGAAACTACTTTGGGTATGTAGCGTCAAAGTAAATGTCAAAATAAACATAGAAGGGAGTAAAAATTATAGTAGCTGGTATAGTCATTAGATAGAGGATGAAATGCCCTCTAAAATGAGCGTTTGTACGAGTCGATAGCTTTATTAGTTCCCGAGATATAGCGATTTTAATTTCAAGTCGATGCGGTGGCTAGTTTCGGAGATATGAGACGCGGAAGCGTTTGTTTACATTCTTACTACGGCCTTGTCAAGGCCGTTGACCGGCACGTGACTCGGCGAAACTAGGTCACTCGGCCCACTCGGTCACGAGACACGTGCGAGAAAGAGAGGTCCAGCGCGACGCGTCAGACGGAGACAGCGATAGTCGAATTAAGAAAAAATTACCTTTTACATAAATTACGATATCTCGAAAACGGAAAGTCCGATCGTTAAAAACCAAAAACCATTTTAAAGGGGAGGCTTTACCGCTTCTAATGATGCCTCATTTATGGATAAAGAACTAGCAGCTTCGGAACTGCACGCTTCTAAAGTTTAACTATTTTAATACGCGTTCTAAGACAGTGGAAACTGAACTAAAGTCTTCACGTATCCACGGTATTTACTCTCGGACTCAATTTCGTTCGTCGCAGGAAAGAGTTACAAGTATAAAATGTAAGATAAAGTATCCTAAGTGGTACGATTTTGATAACTCACTTCCATATTTGAGAGGTGCACGATTCCGGGATGTGATTACGAACGATGTAAAGAGAAGAAAGGGTCGACCCAAGTGGCTGCACAGATGTCGAAGATTTTCAAGAAGTGCCGCGTGGAGTCGGTTTTCCGAGCAACGTAACCCATTCCTGAGTATATAGCCGATTCGAAATGGAGTATAGAAGGAGACGGAAAGCATGGGATTTTCATCGATGTCCCTGCGATTCACTGTTCCAAGATCGAAGTAACGTTGGGGAACGCAAGTTATATTCCCGGAGAAGATCGGGAAAATGCACTTTCGATAATATGACCGATCCCCTGCAAAATGCATGCTACAAGATCGAATTCACCGCCTCAAAAATTCTAGTTACTCCGTAGACTTCAAAAATCCTGCTTTTTCTCGCGTTTCCTAGCGTCCGATACTTCTTTACGCGGCGTGAATAAATCGCCACTCCTGTAACGTTAAAAGTTACGCGTTATTTTTTGCCGAAACAAATAAAACTCGTTAAAGCTTTTTAGACAAATTATGATTCACAGCGGTTCCGCGAACATTAAGGCAGCCAACTGTGGGAAATAACTTTTTACCGCTACAGTTTTATATTATACACTCTCCTTTGATGCATCAAACTCGACGTCCTCCGGAATACCGTTTGCACGTTTTTTGCACGTCCTCTTATTTAACGCACTCTTTAATTACTGAATTTCTTTCCTCGTCACGTTCGAGCGGCAAACGTGAAATTCTACGGCCCGACGAATTAATTGATAGCTTCAATTTGCGATATCGACTCCACGAAAGCCGGATACCGTCGCGCAAAGTTCACCGTACGCGAATAAACGTTCGTCTAACCAGAATTCACGGAATCGTCGTTATGCGGAAAAAGGGAAGGTCTTGGCGGGTGGTTCGCGCGTCGAGAACATTATCCAAATGGAGCGAGAAGAATGATATAAGGGCTGGTGAGAACGGGGGTCGCGACAGGCGGCGCAGACAGTGGCATAAGACGTTCGACAAAAACGAGAGGTCGGTTCGCTCTCGATAAACCACGTCCCGCCGAAAATTCTCGAATCTTAATTGCAAGGAAATGGTGTGTAATGGCGTGAAATATTCTCCAGAAAAAGATGCTGACTCTTATTACGGTGGCCTGCGGAGGGACTCTTTTTAATCCTGCGACCTCTCTCCACACCTGCCGCGCAAAACGCTGACCCGCCATTTCCACTGCCAATCTGTTACGAACGCGCGGATCCAACAGAGGAAAACACCGAAGGGTAAGGAACGAGCATTTCCGTGTGCACCATCCTTCGCGCCTTCCTCAAAAGCTCTCTCGCCTCGGGATACAGACTTCTAGATTTAATTTGCTTGTACCCGGTTACGTCATCCCCTTTCTTTTCTTCGCTAGCTATTTACCACCCGAGTCTGACGCTTTCGAGAAAACTTCGGAACGAATTAACCGCAATTTACATTTTCGACGTTTTCACCGAAATACATTCGTATTGTAACCGAAATTACTGCGAGATTGCTCGCAAAGTTCGCCGGTCCCTTTTCGGTGCGAACGACAGCGAAGGAAAGGGATTAAAAATGCTTCGTCGTGTAAAAATTTTCACCGAGCTTCGGACAGGTTCGTGCCAATTAAGAACCACGGTCTCGTTAAGACGAAACGAACCGCGGCTTAATTTTAATCTCAAACAATAGTTGGCCGTCGTCCGTACCTCACCGCCCTCCGTTCCCCTCTTTCCCTCCAATTTAATCCGTGGGTTTTCGTTCGACCGTAGATTCTCGTCAGGCGACACGAGTTTCCTCGCGGGAAGATCGAGCACCGGAGGCAAGTCAAGCGCGCAGATAAACATTTACGACCGTGATGTCGACCCGTCGTTATTTCGCTTTATTAAACATTTAAAGCTGCGTTGGAACGTGATCCTCTTTGCACGCGAACGATTTCATTTCGCGAAATAATAAAAAGTCCGGACCGTCCGCGGGGACAAAGAACGAAGTCTTTCGCGAATTCGCGGCGTTTCTTTGCCCGTTGATATTGTCGTTATTTTTCCAAGTATAGATCGGTTTCAAGTTAAAATCAAAAGCATCGGGCTTCTATTAATTAAAAGAATCATTAAAATTACTCGGAAGGGAAGACCCGAAAATTCGGAAAATTATAAAACCGTCGGACGAAAGTTATTTCTTTTAATTGGATTCATAAAATGGCAAAGGATATGTAAAATAGTAGTACTTTTAGTTAATTCTATTGAAACAAGCACACGGAATTTTTTATGCAAAGCAACTTGACACGAGATAAATTCAACAATATTTATTACTGCTTATGACTGCGAAGCACAAGAATGTAAACTGAATTAATTATTGCTCCGGTATAATTCATGTATCCGACTCACGCACAGGGAGCAGCGGACGAGGTATAGTTGTGCTTGTGACGAGGCTACAGAGAATGATTTTTCCATCGCATTGCTCCGGGTACCGAAGGGATTTCGTAATAAATATAAGAAAGGGGCCGAATGGCGAGGGCCAAGCCTTTCCTCGCTCGGGGTCGAACGAAACGTCTGTCTAGCGAGCCAGATGTTTCGTTATTTATTAGGAATTAGGAGCAGAGAAAGCCTTTGCTCCGCACGGAATTTCTTCTGTACTTTACGAACGCCATAATGTAATCAACTATATCCATCTATGAACGTTGCAAAGTTTATGAAATTTCTAAATTCTAAAAAGGTTTTAGAACCGTAAGACGTCTGTTCTCGTTTTTGCTCTACGAATTTTCGCAAATGGTCGAGGTTTTCCAACTTCCTGAACGTTTAATTGTTCGGAGATGCAAAAACATCGATTCCGAAGCTTCTACACCTGCAGAACGTCTCCGTTCGTCACGCTGAAAGAAACCGACGGATCACCGGGGACAAAAAGCATCAGAACTTTCGAGAGAAATTAATTAGGCATGGAGCTTCACGGTACGAGTGGCAACTCTTCGCAAAATTATTAACTCTAGAATCGACTGTTCGTCTTCGCTAAGTAGAACCAAGTATGCATTATTTCCACTAAGACGCGCTTAAATAAATAAATATGTAAGGGATCGACGCAAGCCCTGAGGAACTCTCGAAAAGGACGCCACAAACCTGAAGCAAGAGTTTCGGGATCGTCGTTGCTCGTGTACGTTCGATTAGATAGCTTTTAAGCTAATGCGATACAATTGCCAATGGAAGCCAATTTAGATAATAGCAAATTGTGATTCACCGTGTCGCAAGCTATCGCCTGGGTTGATACGTGGTTGCAAAACGGGGTAACAATAGATATTCCAAGTGAGAATAGATGTTTCGTTCGAGCGATCTGTCCCTTCAAATAAATACTAATGAACGCACTAGCTTCATCAAAGTTTAAATATAGAGAGATTTAGCTTGGTCCTGGTCCTGGCGCGTTAAATTGATCGAACCTTTCTATTAGGCGAAGAGGACGGAGCGTTTTTTCGACCAAGGGCCAAAATTTGACGCGCACCCTCGTAACGGGGAGCCCGGTAGCGAAGATCCCTGGGGTGGCCGAGCAATTTAGATGACAGCCCTTTGTGCAATATTCAAGGCTGCGAGCAACGGAGCGCGCGTCGCGGCCTTAACAGGTACGCTCGAGAGTAATCCGGATACATCGGCGAGGCACGATGCGCGCAGCAGGGCAGTGCGGCGTCGAGGTGGCCGCGAACCTCGCGACGCAGGCGTCGAGCCCAGGAACGTTCGTCAGTCGTCGGGCGAACTTGAAACGCGTGGGTTCGCGGTCTCTTTGCCACGCGGTGCGAAACCACGTCCGCCTCCGCGCCAAAACGCCGACACGCTTCTTACGAACGACCCTCTGGTGACCCGTGAACCCGCTCCGAACGCGAGGAACCTGACGCGAGCCTACCGTCGAGCCGATTCGCGAGGAACGTGTCGCTCGCGCGTGTCTCGAACGATTTCCGCGGAGAATCGATAAACCGATCGACGTCCACCTACGTCCTTATGCCTATGTCAATGTATGCACCGTTTTTCGAAGAGGATCATAGAATCGAGAAGTCCTAGGAAAGAGGACGCTAAATTAGTACCGTATTAAAAATTAGATTCGCGTCGAGAGGAAAGAGATATACTCTCGCAGTCTTGGAACTCGATCGTCAGAACCTTTTATTTTTGTGTCCATTTCATACCCAATTGGAAATCGTGATTCTAGGTCGGAAGAATTTTATTGCCTTCGCGATCCATTTGTTCTTTCCGATCCATCGACCAATCATCGCTTCGGGAAATCTATGCGCGAAAGCGTCTCGCGAAGTAGAACCGTTGTTCACTTACATTTCGCAAATCCTCCTCTGATTGAAATCGAAATACTCGCGAGTAATTTTAAATCGCCCTCGATTTGTTCGAGATATCGATTTCGAGCCATAGTATCGGAACAGGAGAACACTCTGGTAACTAATTTTCATCGAAAACGCAACAGTTTCGAATCTATTGATGAAACTGTGAAATTCATCCGACCATAACTATCTCAATATCGAGAACAGTCCTCTTTCTAACGGATACGTCGCGAATAACTCGAAAATTTATCGTTTCCAATTATTTTCTTGGCCCTTATAGTGGCGATACTTTGGTCGCGTCGACGTCAAAGCTCGATTTCACGTTGCTGGACTTCGAAACGAGGATTTAGTCGCGTTCCGGGGAATAATAGGACAGTGGACAAGTAAACGCGGTGTGCCACACGCAAAGTACGAGCAACGGAATAACGCGAAGAATAATGCCTGGTCGAAGTACGAGTCACGATTTCGTCGAGCGATAAGTGGTAAGAAACGCAGTGCAGTTCCTTTTCCACCTTCTGCCCTTTCGTCTAACGCAATATTTTCACTACTGTACGCGTAAGAATGCTGGAAAAATTTACCTCGAATTCGAACGGAATTCTCATCCTTAACGAAAGAATGTCGCGCAAGTTGCGTTTACGAGTGCCCTCGGCGGAGTCCAAGAATTTTTTAAGGGCCCTTCCCCGGTGAAGAAATTGATCCGCAGGCCGTAATTAGCTCCGAAGTGCCCTTTTCCGTACATTCTAACTACCTTATCGCTGCACTTATGCCGCTACTTACCCCGTTCGAGCATTCTGACGCAGCAATTACATGGAAAGCAAACTCCGCACCACAAATTACAACGGTGCGGGAACACATGAGACAATTCCGATAACGTGACTACGTTCCACAGATAATGACTTAAAACGTTTGCAGGGATTCCGCGGCTAAGCACGCGGAAAACGCGTAACATGCCGTAACAAACGGACAAAGTTGTCACGTCTAATTGTTTCTAAACCGTAACAAGGACCGCCGGAGATCGTTGAACCGGCGACGCGTGTTACGATTCCGTTTGTACCTTTTACGATTCGGATGATTGATCGAAGCCAGAACGAGTCGTTAATGCGGATACACGAACAGGCGTTCGCCTAACAATAAGCGAGAGACCCGCGTATCAGAACCAGGAAACGATCAATTAACAAGATTTAATGCGCCAATAAAACTAAGCAATAAAAAGGAATATATTGCAGGTCGCGTTGCAAATTATCGACAGACCGCCCGGACGAGAAACACGCGAGAAGAATGGTCAATATCGGGACGATTCGACGATGCTTTGCAACTCCGCGCGAAACAAAGTTTACGGAAAACTTGTTCCGGTAACCGCGTTTTATTCGAACGGGCACAGGGACCGCGAAATACATTATTTCCTGACGCGAGACCGTCGTGCAATTTAATAATGTTGACCCGATGTCCTTTACGTGACCGGATTTCTATTCTATAAGTTTCGGTGCGAAAGGGTGACGATAAAGTTTCGCGACCAGCGGTTCCGTTCCTCGTTTCATTAATTTCAGGCCGGAAGTAATATCTTACGGGTTCGACGATGCGTTAAAGATTCGCCACGGTGACGAGTTCTTAATGAAAGCTCGCCGATGGAGTAACGCGAAAAATCGGGTTGCTCCGCTGGATGCTTGTCTTTAAATCCTCCGCCTTAATCGATCCGACTGTCATCGAATCTCCTTCGAGATATTGTCTGGAGAAATGAAGATCAGTCCCGGGTTAAAGGGAACGTACCGTGATTAAGGCGAGTTCAGAGAAAATTCAGGGATTCCGTTACGATCGATGGAAAGAAAATTTAAGGGTTAAGAATTATTATTCCACATTTTTGAACTTGGTCTTGCTCTGATTTCCTCCCAGTTTGATCTTTCTTCCCTTTTTAGCGCCAAGCTATTCGCGTTGTCCCTAAAGAATTAGCTCTTGGTCTTGTTTTATCTAGCGTTTACGTGACCGGTTTACAGCGTGTTTATAACAAACGCCAGGTCAACCGATGAAGACGTTTTATCCACGCTACGCTTAGGTGTTAGATAAAAAATGGCTACACGTTCGCGTTTTGCAACTTGCACGACTCGCACCTAAATCCCCTTTGAAACACCATCTCTTAATATTTTTCTAAATTCGGTTTTTCTTACTGTACAACCTGCTCTTGCTACAACGTTTGATCCTAGAATTTTCACTGTCATGTTGCAACAATGTATCGTTCGCGTATGTTACATTCTTCTCGGCGTGCTCTACTTACATATTTTATAATCTTTACAAAGATGCAACGCTGTCCGTTTAAATAATAATTTAATAAGTATTTGCCCCGACGAGGTAATGCTGTTTACGTTCATGGAAACTAAGTCAAGATAGGTTTATTTACCCTTTCGTACTTTATTCCCGCCGAACGGTTGTCTTCGAAGCAAAAACACGAGCATCCAGCGGACTCAACATCTGCGTTCAACTGTGGGGCTTTGTTTGTTCTTCGTCGGAAAAAGAGGACGATCCCTCCTCTAATCGCTCGACGCGAAACGTTCGTTATTTTCATCTCCGGCTGAATTGCGAGCGGAAAAACTGGGGTGGGGAGGGTTCGATCCAAGGAGAAAGAACTAAATCGGCAGCAATCCGTGAAATCCCGAGGATCTTTGTCAACGTTGCTTTTTATTGGAATCGGTTGGTTACGGATACCGTTGGAACAAGATTCCGCTGCTATCGACTATCCGACAATAACGGTAAGGTTAATAACAGTCTGAAAAGTACACCATCGAACCCGTGAAAATTTTATATTCGAGTTTATTCTGTGTATTATTTAATTTCCATCGAAACAACAGTAAACGATACTTTATCGATTTGGAGACGGGAATCGCGATGGCATCGATTATGTTCCAAATAGCTCGCCGGAGTCCAGACGCATCGCGAAATAAATGGCTCTCCATTACAAGGAAAAGAGATCCCATATAAATTGTGGATATGGTCCGACCAACAACGCGTGATCGACCCTCGGAGAATAAGATATCGGTCCAGATTACTATCGAGTTGAAATCTGCAATAACGCATTATCCGTGCGAGTATTTTACCCGCGGAATACGTCGATTTCTCCAACCGTCTAACGTTCCTTCGACCCATTTATTCCCACCGCGGCTCTATCGCTGCGTATTTACAATTACGCGGGAAAATATCGCCGATATTCACGTTCTCGTATCTGTAAATAATTCTCTTTTTATTCGTCGGTTCATCGTCGTTAGCAGCATTGTCTTCGGTCAAGCGTGAATTTAATAAACAGCTCGAAGCGCTCGGTACCGCGTCTAATTAATAATCCGTGAAACGTAGGCATCGTGAACGAGGGCATCGTTCGGTCTAGTTGCCATCGCTGAACATCGCCGTGCATTTTTCTCCGTGGAAAAACGCTCGCGACTGCGAGAGCGCAAAATAGGCCGCGACGACGTCACACTTTCAGCCCCGAAATCGGCCAGTCAGGACGCGAAAGAACTGCTGGAAAACGCGGAGACTGACGGTAGAGACTCGAAGGAAGTGGATATTTCGCCCGGGGAAAATTTGAATAAAACCGCGCGCCCTCCCTTTTTCGTGCCAGGTTTCCCGCCCTCCGTCGGTCTTCCTGTCGTCCTTCCAAACCCTTGCACTCGAGGAGTAATGCAAGTTCCACGCTGGAAACTCGTAAAAACCCCGTGGCCGGCTCTAGCCAGCCTCCCCCGCGACATCTCGACATCTGCGGTCCGAATGCCTCTTCTCACCCTCTCGCTTGGAATTCAACAATTCCGCCGGCCAGACTTCCGCCTTTCCCTTGTCCACTCGCGTCGCGCGAGCGACAGTATTTTGCGAGCCCCGACCGACGTTTTCCTTCGACCCTACGCCCGCACACCCGCCCTCGATTCGGTCCGGCAGAGCGTCGCGAAAAACTGACGGAATATTCGCCGCGTCGCGAGCACAACTTCGTCCCCAGCAGATGCCTCGCCCCGAAGGCATACCAAGTTTTTCCCTGAGACTCGATAAAATACAAACCATACGTCTGGCCCGAACGCGAGCGTAAATAAAATTAATAGTCTTCCAAATCCTTTTTCCTTCGACGGATCTCTACTAAATTTCTACCAAAGTCTCGAAGCTATTGTTTTGGACTATCCTGAGATAGACATTTCCCTCCGATATCCCAATGAAAATAAAGAGCTTTCTCTTCATTGTAGCAGACCGAAAAACTGTCACCCGGGGCGGACTCTCCACCCCCTTTAACTACTGATTTCAAAGCGATGGTGAACCGAACCGTGCAGCTAATTTGTCACGCTCAGCCTTCCAAGGAAATACACACAACTCTCGATGCAACGTCGAAAGCTCGGAGGGCACAAAGTATCGATGGAAAAGGGCTTCGAAAGAATCAATTATCGGGAAACGTACGTGCAACAGACATTGTCGAAAGAACCGATCTTTGACACCGCGTTCCCGAAGCTGTAAATTAGTCGAAAAAATGTGGTCACTTTCCTCTGAACACCGATCCGATAATTTGTTCGATCGATTGGTATAACGTTCGAAAAATGCGAGTGGGTGGATGGAGTAATTTTCAGAAATTCGACGGTGTCGTTACCGTTGATTTAGCGCTCCGTTTCACGGGCCAAGCACGCGATTACGAGCTCTCGGTCGAAAGCGGGTTGCATACGCGAACTCGAAAATAGGATTGCAGCTATTAGGTTCGTAAGGTTCCTCGAGGAGGAGAATTTTCTTGTATTTTCTATTTGCGAGGGAAAGCTGTAGTCGTAAGGAAAGAACCGTGCGTAGCAACAATTCTCGTCGACTTACCATGTGGTGCAGTCCCTACCGGGCGTTCTCGGTTATCGTTTCCCCGGAATAGCCCTGCCTCTGCTCATCCGATATCCGACCGAGTGGAATATTCTGTTTTCGTCCGACGTTGTTCGCCGCGACTCCCTCGTCCATTCACGACGGTGACGTTTCACGGACGCCGCATCTGAAAGTCATATAAAACGAATCTCGGTATCCGTGCGCACAGTATCTCTCCAAGAAACCGAACGTCGCGTCGGTGACGTACGCGCGCCAGGAATAGTCGCTTCGAGTAGTAATTGATTCGCAACGGAGGAACTTGAAAATTTAACAAGTTCGTTCCAACTATCGATCTTTCGGGGGCGAGCCTAATTTCGCACGAGATAATCCCCTACGTCGATCGTGAAGTACTTTCGACAGTTCTCCGTTTCCAAGAATCTGTCGCAACTATGCAAGTAAAAGGACCGGGCGCGTCGCAGTTCCCAACAGACGCGCGACTATCATTTTCACCCGAGGTTTCCTCGTCCGTCCAATATCCAAGCCCGGAATATTCCATTTCCTTGGGTTTTGCTCTTCCGCTCTCGATTCGGCGAGACCATCGTTTAAGTCAGACCCTCGATGGCCGCGTATGCGAGGATCGTAGCCTGCACGCGGTCCGAGAATCGTCTTCCAAGCTGTCCGCTGCACT